AGAATGACATGCATTCAGGAACCAAATATGAAATGCAAGAAGGAATGGGCGGAGTAATACTTAGAAGCGGTCTTCGTACTGTTGTTCATTTGGTATTATTAGCTCACAGGTCTGTCCAATTGTTATTGCAGGCTGTTTCTACTGCAAAGGGACAAGCATTAGCGGATGAATATGGCATCCAGTTCTTTGAAACTGTAAGTTGTTGTGCTGAAGGTTTGGTCTTTTCACAAATTGAACTTTCTTCAATTTTACCTTGTGCTGTATCTTTCAGAGTGCCAAGACAAACCTCAATGTGGAGCAAGTTTTCTTTTCCATTGCCCGAGATATTAAGCAGAGGCTTGCTGAGACTGATTCCAAGCCCGAGGTAAAGGTCATACCGAGCATTTTTCCTCTGTTGATTTGAACTTTCTTTGGATTTTGAAATATTACGTTGATGCTTATAGGACCGGACGATCAAGATTAACAAGACAGAAGGTTCTGAGAATCCAGAATCTCAGAAATCTGCCTGCTGTGGCTCATGAGGAATACGTTGACTTCACTACCATGGGCTGTTTTAACTCTTATCTGTTTATTACTGTCAGCTTGTTATTATAGGAACTTTAAGACTTAAGGAGATGACTATGTTGTGGTTGTTCTAGTTGTGTTACCTTCTATATTCTTTGCAGCAGCAACTATTACTTTTAATGTAGTTTTTGTCATTTCTAGGGGTGATTGCATGTTGTATTGCCATCATGAGAACTTTCTGCTGATGTAAGTGCATTTCAGTTTTTCAATCTGTTGATTGCTACATCTGCAAAACTCCATTTGGCGCATCGTGCTACACTTAGTTGAATGATGCACTAGCCATGGATAACTTTTCACTAGGCTCCTTTCTCTGATGAGTACCTGCCGTCCTTCGGTGGATAATGACTGGTCATAATTATTTGAGCAAGCAAAATCATTTACGAGGAAGTTAATTTGAGCACCTTTTCCATAAACATGCAAACTGCATGAATTGCAAACATGCCAATAATATTTTACTACTCTGTCACATATTGGTTGTAATAACATCTTATATTATGGGACGGAGATAGTACCATGTGTATTGGGTTAGACTATGCCAACTTCGTTCAGTTCGTGCCTTGTAAATGGCGGGTAGAGTTTGTCTTTGATCGTCGATGAAAAAATGACCACCTGAATTCCTGAATGATGAAAACATGTTATGTGTGCTCGAATGATTCCATGGACTGCTTTAGACCTTGTTTTGTTCTACTATATGTTTATACTTGTTTAGATGTGCCGGTGAGAAGTTAGAAAACGTCTTTGAACTGTTGAATGTTTATTTCCTTGCGTTCAGTTTTCATTCATCTGTTAAGAATGCAATACAGAAGTTACATGTTGTCATGCTGCTGCAAGCAGAATGGGTTGACGGTGCTCGTGTTTATTTTTTTGACTGTACCCCGCTTTGAAATGTCTTTTTTTTTGCGAAGAAATAAATTGAAATGTCTGTCATTTGACTTTGTGTTCTGAAGAAAATGTTAGCCTTCATTAGTAGGAGCAGAAACTTTATGCAAATTGACTTGCTGAAACAAATGTTAGCCTTCATTAGTAGGAACATAAATTTTATGAAAATTGACTTACTTTTCGAAATGAACAGCGTAGTACATTATTACACGTTTTCAACATGCAATGCTTCAAAAGGGCGACCATAAGTGGTAAATTTCATGAGGTATTATTTACAGCAAGGAAATGCAAAAGTTCATGTTTGATCTGTTTCAGAACTACGCCGGCGCACCAGCCTATGAACATTTACATCTAAAAATTTACAAAAAAAATGTGAAAGGTGTAAAGTAAAGTATAAATAAACAAACCAATAGAACAGTTTAGCAGGAAAGCAATCAGCAGCCACCACCATGCATGGAGTGGTCCAGCGATCGGAATGATCAGAGGGAGCAGTCTAACATGGCGAGCGCCTTGTGTACGCCCTGCCTGGCAGCGGCGCTGAGCCCCGCCGCGCTCCTGCACTTGGTGCAGTTCTCCGACGGCGTCAGGTTCAGGTCCAGGCAGATCCCGCCGGCGTCGCACGAGGCGACCACCATCTCGGGCTCCGCCGCCTTGCCGCTAGGGGCGTTGGTGGCGGCCTCGGCCTCGACGCGGTGCCGGCGCATGTGCCCGCCCAGCGCCTGGCCGACGGCGAACTCGAGCCCGCAGACGGGGCACTCGTGCGCCCTCGGCTTGGCCGGCAGCGGCGGCGCCTGGGGCGCCCGGCGGCCGAGGCAGAGCGCCGCGCCGTCGTCGATGCTGTCGATCGCGTGCGGCTTCTGCGGGTGCTGTTGAAGCCTGGGTCGCTTGTGGCTGGCGCGGTGCCCTCCGAGCGCCTGGAACGTGGGGAACTGCCGGTTGCACGTCTTGCACTCGAACACGCGCCCGCCGCCCATCGCCTGCGCCGCCCCGGCGACGGCGCGCTGGTGTTGATGCTGCTGGTGCTGCTGCGCGAGGAGCATGAGCAGGCGGGCCGTGTCCAGGCCTCCAAGCTCCATGTCCCACACATCCCTGCCTCTCTTGCTCATGGCTCTTGAGTCTGGACTTGATCTCTCGCCGGCCGGTTAGGGTAGGTAGTCCAAAGTCGCAGTGTACTTTGCGTGCGTTCGTACCACCTTGGCCTGCACTGTGTAATGCATATGTGGCTCTGGCCCGTATGGTGGATGCCTCTTATATAGTGGGGCGCTACTTGAGGTTGGGGTTTGGTGCACGTAGGAAACGGGCGCGCACGCACGACTACTACTAGCGGCTCGCAAGTGTTTGTTGGCTTCTAGACGTGGACGTGTCTGCATGTACTTTTCCTGGAGTTTGACCGCTTGGTGAGAGAGATTAGTTACTAGTCTACTACTAGAGTCTACAGTACGACCCGTACAGAATCTGCGTTCAATCTTGTCATGTGACTAGGTAGATCGCAGTATCTAGTCTAGTCAACATGTGTGTTCAGGCGATCGAGCTGACTCTTCCTTCTAGACCGGCCGGCTGGCTGGCCGGCGGCTGCGCGCCCCGGCTAAGCAAAGCACAGAATCGTAAACAGCAGACACCTGCGGACCTGCCCGATGGACCATGGTGCGGCGTCGCGAGCGACGTCCGTAGCGTGTGCGTGGCGTGGCGTTCTGACTTTGATTCATTCATTCATCATGGTGCGTGTTATACACTTCGGCGCCGGCGGCGATCTCGACCGGGCCTCTGCACGGGTTTCAGTGTTTCAGACACTCTCCGGTTGGTGTATGTGGTTTTGTTGCTGCCGTCACCTAATTTATTGACCGGGCGAACGGAGATTTGGAGATCGACACGAATAGCTCCATCCAGATCATCTAGAACGAGCGGCGCGACGTCCCTGTTCAAAACCGAGCTCCGTTGTTGCCTCAGTGGAATCTAGAAATTCATACCACTACTAGCAGTCTCGTCAAACAATTTGGCTTAGGCCCTGTTTGGTTCATAAGTCCTAAAACTTTTTCTAATCCCAACTAAAAAGTCCCTAGTCCCTAAAAAGTCCCTTTTTGTTTTTTTTCCGAGGGTATGCCAATGGCGTACCTTAGCTTTATAGAAAGGAGAAAATATGTACAAGAGATTACATGTCGCTAGTTAGGAGTCACAAGCCGACCCTAACCAAGCCTCTACGCGACTACTCTATGATTGGTTGTCCTCCAAATGCTCCTGTCTTGGCCCAGATCCGTAGCTCATCAAAGATTGAGTCTATCGTATTCCATTCGTTCTTGATCGTGCCCGTGCCGAAGACCCTTGCATTCCTTTGCTTCCATATCATCCAACATATTAACATTACGAAGGTGTCAAATCCTTTCCGAGACTGTTTATGAATTAGCTTTCTCGTATCCTTCCACCACTGCACCAATTTAGAGTCGTTGGTAGGGCAAAGGTCGGCCGTCAACCCCATCCTAGTAATGCAGCGGAACCACACTTGCCGTGAGAACACGCACTGCAGCAAAATGTGGTCAACTGTATCCTCATTCTGGTCAGACATGTAGCATTTGGATGCTTGGTCTTGCAATCCGTGCCTAGCTCTCCTGTCCGAAGTCCAAAGATGATACTGCATCGCGAGCCACATGAATAACTTGCAAGCAAGCAGTGCCCAACACTTCCATATTGCTCCGAAGCAGTGAAATCTGACTCCTCCCTCGCATAACATCTTGTACGCAGATGATGTAGTATAGACTCCAGATGTGTTCCAAGCCCAGATTGGGCGGTCCTCAACCTGAGCGTCCAAATGAATTTCCAACAGAATCTCCGAAAGACCGATGAACTGGGCGAGGCCCTCAGTGCATACCTTGGAACAAATCTGACTCCTCCCTGTTTGTTTCCAGAGACTAAAAAGTCTTTAGTCCCTTCCCAGTGGTTATTAAATGACCATGTTGCCCCTAGTATATAAAAAAATAACAATCAAACAACATCATGGGGTGGCGGGCCAATGGATGCATGGAGGGGCATTGTTGGAAAAGTCCAAAAAATCCCCAAAAGACTCTCCTTGAGAGTCTTCTTCATTTAGTCCCATATGCCTAGTTTAGTCCCTAAAAAGTCCCTCATGTTTAATAAAAAAGTCTCTAAGAGGGATTTTTCTAGTCCCTACGCAAAAAAGTCTCTGAAAACAAACACCCCCTTACATAGCAGTCCGATTTGGAGTTGATTAATCACTTGACCGGAATTAACGGCTGCTTAGCCAGCTGCGGACATCTGATAGGTGTGTGCTCAACATGATCGTGCGGGCTGCTCGATCGGTAACTTTTATTTCCTGGCTGCTAATTGATGCGTATGACCGGCGATGTTCATGCTTCAGCTAGCCTTGGAATTCTTTGGATAATCAACACTTGGTCATATTTTTTTCTAGAGAACGAATGATCAAGTTAATTAATGACCAACTTCTGGGAACGAATGATCAAACTCTGCAGCAGCCGAGTCAAATGTTTATTGTGTGCTAGCCCGCGTTCTTTAGAGGTGCCACTTGTCAGGAATCACATTCAAACAGACATACTTAAAGATCTTACCAAGATTAACATAAGCATAATCAGCACTACAATGCCAAACCAACTGGTTGACTAAACCGGCCAATTAAGGAGAAAAGAGAGGCGGAGAAAGAGAGACGAAGCTTGGCTGGGCTGCAAGGGATTGTTGGTGACGGTGGACAACCGATGGCCTGCATATATCGTCGTTAGGTAGGGTGCATATGCAGTCCGGTCTTGGCGGCAAAACGATTTGACCCATTAATCCCAATGAAAATGACTCGATCATACATTGTGCGAGAAATTGTGTAGCTCATTTAGTGCGTCGCATGTACTTTATGTAGGCATGCATTTTGCTTGGCTCAGTGGGTCCCATCAAATGCCTTTCTGCACATAGATTAGATACTCCAATGATCAAGTACTGTACGTTTCTAAGAATAATGTGAGTGCAACTAATGCACATGTTTTAATCGATTCTAGATCCAAAATTAAACAAATGAAACTAATAGTTGCATACATAAAATGGATGTTGTTGGAACCCTTCCACCAGCCAAAAGTTTGGAAGGCAATGATCATTCTCAAGTGTAAGTTTTTCATGGCTTGTGTTGCATGGCCAAATTCGCATTGTAGAGACTCTGACAATCAGGGAATGACCCCATAACACAACCTACCAGTTATGCTTTGCAAGTAATGGGACGTTGCGCGTCTATAATCGTTTACAAGTCTTTGTAGGTGTAGCATTATTGATGTAACGACTACCCTCTCGAAGCAATGGAAGGCGGTCAATGTTGGAATTGGCCTTCCCCAATCCAAGGCAATTTATATTAACCTATGGTTGGATGACTTTCTTACGGCCTCTTCGACCAGCGCATGCGCGTAGTAGCAATCTGATTTATGCTCCATGGACCATTTAGAAGAAAAGGAAACGATCAAAGTTTACCGGCCAAAGAATGACTTACCGGGAGGTGGCACACCTAGCTTTGGCGGACATTCGCATGTGCATTCTTGTAGTTTTTTCATGCACGAGTAGTTTGCATGCCGGTTTGGGGTTTTAGTTAAGCCTCACCAAGACATAGTAGCGTCCTTCTGACTAATTTCCTTGAACCTATGATTCTAAAGCTTATTTGTTTTGCAGGATTTTAGAAACACATGGAAACAGGAAGACATAGAAGCTACTCCCTCCGTTCCTAAATGTAAGTCTTTGTAGAAATTTCACTATGAACCGCATACGGATGTATGTATATAGATGCATATTAAGAGTAGATTCATTCATTTTTCTCCGTACGTAGTTCATCTAATGGAATCTCTATATAGACTTATATTTAGGAACGGAGGGAGTAGATGTCATGAGATGTTGTATCCTATGGGAATTGAAAGAAAAATACATGATTTTGTATGTCATTTGTCTGGTTGAGAAGAAACACAAGTACATATTTCTATGAAACACGGGAATTTTTCTAAACAATTATGTCATAATTGCCATTTAAATACAAATCTACAAGGTTAGACTTTACGAAAAATCATTTCCCAATTGCATGCAAAGTAGACCATAAGTATTCGGAAACACTAGCGTTGACCCGACTGATGGAGCTACGCGCGCCAACCGCCTTCGCGGCCGTCAGATCCGTTTCTAATAGACGACTCACATCCATCTCCACCCTTTGCAACATGGCCCTTCTTGCAAAGCAAGGAGCGCAACACGACCCTTGCTGCAGAGGCTTCTCCTCAACTGACTGATTCCAGCGCTCCATCGACAGTCGTTCCACTGCTCCCGCTGCTTCCAAGGCGTGCATGACCACCTGTTCGACCATGGTGAGCTGCGCCACCATTTTCCCCTCTACCTACCATCATATTCCATCGCCATAGGCCTCGCCCCACTTGGAATCGTGCTCGCAGCCGAGCGACATGGCCGCTGTGACCAGCCCCTCCCTACCTCGTTCTCCTGCCCACATGCGAGTCCCCAGCTGTGCCCCGTGGTCCATGCATGCCCACATGGCCTCATGCATGAACATGCATTGGTCGAGTGCCCTCACGCGTGCTCCTCCAGTGAGTCGTAGTGCGCTCTGTCGCAACGACAGTGTTGCAAAAGGTGGCAGTGAACGACTACGGTGCTACCTTTACACGCGTCGGCAACGGCGATGATGTTTTTGCAACATCAATTCCATTGCAAAATATTCAACAACATCAACCTATGTTGAAAAAGTTTCTTTTGCAACATCACATATGTTGCAAAGGTGAAGGCGAAAGCAGATTTATTTCACAACATCACTTATGTTGCAAACGTTACTTCTGCAACATCACCTATGTTGCAAAAGTGAAAATGAATACAGCCGCGCGACGATACCAGATCTGACGGCTCGCGACCCGGCCATCTTTTCTAAAGATCCAGCGACCGACTCGTAGCACGCCCATGAAAAAATATAGCATGATATTCACGCTAAGCATATCTTGAGAGCTCATGCTAAATTAATCAGTGTACAATGTCTCGTTAATAGCACGCTATAGCGCGATATAGCATGCTAATAGCGTATTTTAGGATCGGCACTATTTTGGTATAGCGCGCTATTTTTTCC